ATCCTTTTTAGGACTATGACCATTTTTAAACCTGACCATAGAGAATGTAACATTTTAAAACATTTTTTGTTCTTAAAGTTGGCTTGTAGCAAAAACCTTTTGGACATAGCCAACCCATTAGGTACTTAATATCACATGTTTTATTAATTCGCGAAATTCGTAGACAACGAAAGTAAACCAAATTATGACCTCTGAATTTATATGGCATTTCGGCTTTAACCGTGTGAACCGAGTATTTCCGAAACGTCTTAATGGTGGATACCGCGACAGCGCAACAACACGTTCTCCACGTGCCGTATCTCGATCGATCCAGCCTCAGCTGCCGATATAACTTGCTTGATACACGCGGTAGGTCAACTTTGTACATTCTCTGACGTCAGACGACAATAATAACAGTAATAGGTATAATTATTTATTCAGACTATATACACTTTTAAGGTATAATGGTGTTAGTGTTACAAAAATAACTTTAGCTATAAAGTTATTTTTGTTAGTGATAATCTGACCTCCTCGTCATCACTAACTTATTGCGTTGCTGCATTTCAGTTTAGAAGGGCAAGGGTGCTAGTGAAATGACAGAGACATGGGACTTGTCAACTGACGTCTCAGAGTGGCGTCTCTGCAAACGTGGTAAACGCAATGCAAAAGCGAGGCAGCCACATCAACATTCTAAACCCACTATAAGTATTGGACCCATAGTGCACTAAGCGATTATTTAGTAAAACCGAACCACGGGCTGTTCGTGTAGAATGATTGGCAGTAGGCTTTCAAAAGTGTAATTTTTACTTGCTTATTGTATCGCGCAAACTTGTCAACCTTGTCAAACTTGTCGAACTGCCAGTACGCAATGTACGCCTATCGTATTTTAAAAAACTTACTAAATTTCTCACAAATCACATTTACCTTACGTAATGTGTTTTTATGGTTTGCTCTTTACCAAAAACGCATTTTTTCGTCAAAATAAAAATCAACCAATCCGAAAAAAATTGCGCTAAACGCTGAAACTTATCAACATTCTGTGATAGCAATAAGATCTCTATATTCATCGTTTAGATAACATGTAGTATGTATTATAAATATGTGTATTTATACTGTATTGTCTACACTGTGACATAGGTACCTACCTTCGAACAGCAGCCATGTTGTGACGTCACAATGGTTCCGGTCCGCTAATTAGTGCTTTCAGAAATAGCGGAAAAACCTTCATCTTTCTGATCTCCCGCCCGCGTTAATTACAACTTTTGTTGTTTCCCAATCTGTTTTTAGTTTTTTATTTAGTGACATGGTTGACATTGTGTGGATTGTGCTAAAATTGACATTGATGAATAGTGACGCCTTTTTTTAACTAAAATTATGAGCTTCTCTGCGTTGTTTGTTGATTTTAGTTGTAATAAAATTCTCCAGTCCCTCCCCCTACGTATAAAGAACAATGATTGAAACAATATTAAATGAATCTCATTCATCCCGTCATCAACTTGACAAATCCGTGACGGTACTGATACCAATTTCAACGTGAAGAGGCCAATAGTTTCTGTTTTCTCCCTACCTGTATCTAATCCGCCATTTTATTAGCCGCTCTCTAATACTGAGCACGTGTACGCTTAGTCCTCCTTTGTTCTATCAAAATTACTCACCAGTACCAAAACAACATAAGTTACACGCGTAGCCAATGTAAAACGTACTCTAATACTTTGCTTAAAGTTTTAGAATTGTACTACAATAAAAAAAGTTCGTTCGTTTTTAGAATAAATCTGCCATGTTTATATCGTTTTGGCGGGACGAGTGTAATGTCCCAAAGTCGGTGTTGCCATGCGGAATAAACTGTTATGCACGTTATAAGAGATTTTAGGCTAATCTGAGAGCATTGAAGACAATAAAATGTGCTTTAGTTCGAGAGGGGAAAGGTAATTGTTCAACATTTTCTGTTGTTTATTTTAGAAGAATTTCATTGTGCCGTGTAGCTAATAAGTAGACATATTTATATCTGAATAGGCTTTGGAAAACTAAGGAGGCGCTGTTTTATAACAATGAGAGTTTCTCAAGTTAGAAATAAGCCGATTATATGGCGTCTATTGGTCTAAGAAAATACTGTCAAAAGGTTTGTTTGTTCGTAATAATCGGATCATAAAAGTATTCTTACAAAATTAATTTGTGCCATTGAAAGTAACATTGTATATATATAGGTGCTAACTGTATGGTTATGTATGTATGGTTCTAAGGGTGTCTTTTAAAAAAATCGCGTCAATATATAGGTCCTTTTCAAAATAAAATTATTTCTTTAAGTAAACAATAAAAACAAAATATTTGTTACGTAAAAGTTGCTCAGTAACTTTTCAAATCTGTTTTGAGCCAGAAAGAATAAAAACTTTTCATATTATATTCACATTTGAAATAATCCATTTTTAGATTAAAAAACTCTTTACACGAACCTTTAATAAATTATACAAATTATCGAAATAATTGTGATTAATGTCAACTTTACAGCACTGATAATTTTGACGAAAATTACCCAACTACATAATAAGAAATATTTGATATAAATCGTAATTTGTAAATAATTTTTGTTAGTCAATATATAAGATTATAAAACGATTACCAATTGGTTTATTTTCAGGTCAGTTTTCTATACCTAATTTCGGTGGCAATTTTCATTACTTAAGTGATGAATATCAGCAGTAGAGTTCTTCGTGAAAGAGTTAGTCCGGGAAGTACGCCGCTAAGCAGTAACGTCAGCATTACTGTGTTGCGGTTTTGAAGGGTAAGGAAGCTGATGAAATTACTGGCACATGGGACTTGTCAACTTATGTCTCAGGGTGTCGGGCGCAGTGGCAGTGCCCCTCAGATCTTTGCGATTTAAAGCGTTGAATGGCACTGCAACAGTTATGGACAGGTGTGTAGCTTTCCATCAGGCGCACGATTTGTTCGTCCCGTCACTTAATGTTATAAAAAAGAATTAAATAATACTTCAGGATAATATTTGAAAAAGTAATAAAAGTTGCCACCAAAATTAGGTTCGAAAAATAACCTGAAAATGACCCAATTACGGGTAGGCAGTAAAAGAAAATTCAAAATAAAACTCGTTAATTTTTATTAATTTTATAAATCGAAATTCATTACACCTCATTTCTCATTATAGTTACAAATTCCTTTTCAATTATTACTATTATTTATAATAATTATAGCCCCTAAAACCTACCTAGTGTAGTTACACTCACTAACAGAACATATAAATTAAGATCATTAAAAAATCATTAACCACAACGACGACGACGAGTATGATGAAACACTGACACGGTGACCCAGCGTTAATTCGTCACGGATTCGATTCCCGATAGACTTTTCTAAATTCTGATCAGAGTGTTCAGATAATTACCTAGCTTGAGACTAGGCAATTAGTGTGGTTATCTGGCACTTTATTATTTTTATTAATTACATCCGTCCATTTTGTTACAACTGTTTTATCTAAAACTATAATTAGTTTCTTATTGCTATTCATTGTCATGCGCCACCGCGCTCATTCTTCAATGTTGCCAGATTCTTATTAAAATTCTCCTAATTTATTTATTTACATTATTGGCAATTCATGAATTGTCGGCAATTCAAAAGTGACCACTAAAGGCTACTAGAATAGTTTAAACTGTTTTGATGTGTTAATATTAACAAAAATAGTTTTTAAGTACACACAAAATGTAGGTAAATATAAATACGTAAAGTAAGCTATTTTGATAATTTTATTTGTTGTGTTGCTAAAATTCGTTGTTTCCAATACGTATACGTGTCTTAGAGTGAAATGTATTATGGTAGTCTTAATTTTGTATCACTCATGTAGAATAGATAAAAACTTGCACTTTCGCGAAATATCTGTAAATTCAATTCTTTGTTTAAAGTTAAAAGCTAGACAGATTTCTTTTTAATTTCGCGACAGCTACACATTGGAAAGGAAACTATTTTTACAGACCTACATTGCGTATATTTGTTTTTTCAAACATACCAACGTTTCGGCCTTTTCACAGGACACATGAACACCCAGCGGTGACCATGTGTCCAGTGACACAAGTGAAGGTACCTTGGTTGTTAGATAACTTTGTCATAAAAAAAAAACCGACGTCAAAAGTTTGTGAAATTACGTCTATTTGGCAAGTTTTATTGAAATCGGTTACCGGAAAGTGCGAGAAACCGGATTCATCCTCTAGCTTGCCGCCTCAAATGTAAATGGATCGAATACTGAGTTACCCTCTTTCCAACAAAAAAAGAATCCCCAAAATCGGTTCACAAATAATCGTAATCGCTTAACAAACACACAAAAAAATGCAGTAGAATTGAGAAGTTCCTCTTTTTTGAAGTCGGTTAAAACACAAATACACGTGATTTAGATTCGGATAAAAATAGTTTTATTTTCTATTACACTGATTTTATACAGTCTTTGAAGTTACCAAGAAAAATGTCTTAAGACGACCAAAATAATATAGTTTACATTCCAGAACTTCCTCTAAAATTGTTTACAATTACCTAACATAGTTGCGTTAGCGTGTCCATATTTCTTGTCCCAAAAAATGGATAGGTAATAAGATCAAAAACAGTATGGATTTTGTAAATAGAAATAAAAACGAGGTATACTTATCTAAATTCTTATGTACAGTAGCTATCTACACACACAAACACCGATTTACCATAGTAATACTATGCACACAACAGTTACTTTAGCTACGCGGCAGTATTTACATTCAATTCTGTTTAGAAATCAGTACAAAGAAACAGTCGAGTCGATTAATGACAGCTACAACACAATTAGACAAGTATAAACAAGTACATGGTTTTCGATGAACTAACCAGAAAAAAATATTGCAAGATTCTTTCGCATACACATCCTCTTGCGTGTGATACAATTGCGTAAGTTTTTTTATTTTCTAAGAGCCGTAACTCGCAAATATTTGGCACTCACGAATTAATAGTAACAAATTAACTACTAATCCTATTTCCGGTTCAAATAATAAGGTACATATCACAACATTTTTCTAAAAAAACATATATAGAGAAAGGAAATTACGAGAAATTAAGATCAAATCCTTAATTGTGCTTAACCAATAATACCTATTTACACGTTACCCTCATCATAAAACTACAATATTCACTTTTTTAGTCCACTTTCACTGCATCACACCATCTCATAGCCCACTTTTCCAATGTCACTATGTCTCTGATGGCCCAGCCCTACCAGAAACAATGTTCTTGAAGGAGCCAATTAATAAAAACTGCTTAATTGACTGGTTCAAATGTAATCTAAGCAAATTAGCAAACTTTATATTTAACAATGTCCCTAAATTATTGCACACAACACAAGTTGGACTGTACTTAATTTAAATTTTAATTAAATCTTAAGTTTACTTTTAAGAATTACACAAGTATGCTCCCTCAAAAAGTGGATAAAATTATCAATGTGGCAACATTGTTTTTTGAAGTCAACTTTAAAATATCTCGGCAAATCATAACGAAGTGACCATTCAATAACGAAACGCATCTATCAAACGGGTGTTAACGTCCTTCAAATGAATTAGTCAAAATACATCTCCTCCTTGAACATTGTCTCGTGGTAAAGCTGTGGGAATTTCTACCAGGCGCGGCCCTGCAGTGGTAAGTACCCTGAGCACTGCTGCTGATACGCGGGCTGGCGGTAGGAGGAGACGAGCGGGTTGCTGCAAGCGGCTTGTGCGGGCTGCGGCGCGGAGTACGCTGAGGTGGGTGTCGCGCAATGACTGTGCGCTGGCGATGACGACTCTCCCGAGCCGCACGGCTTGCCGTCCTTGACTAGCACTGGTACTGCCACTCTTCGAGGTGATGATGACGACTGTTGGGGGAAAGATTTATTACTTCACTTTTATTTATATACAACAACGAACACAAAGATTTTTTTTCCTTCGATCCAGCTGGATTCATACCAACGTCTTCTAGCTAACCGTGGCTGACGCTATGCCAATATGTTTATCGAAGAGCAAGTGGGAATCAAAATGCACGCCGAGATCCCTATCTCTAAATAATGGTATTACTGCTGGTACGAACTGGTGCGAACCAGCGACTGTTGCCATGCCGGGGCCACCGCTCTTATCACTTACCGAGTCAGCAGATCTTACAGATTTTTCTGTGCTTGTTGCGGACCTTTGTGTTAGGTTTAAACGGATTTCTTTAATGGTAGTAGGTAAGAACGTGGCCTCGGTGTGGCAGCAGATGTTAGTTCGAGTCCAGTAAAATAGAAACAATTTTTCTTTGTATTGTAGGATTTTTATATCAATAAAATAATAAATCCATTTGCAATTTTTAAGGTTATTGAATGTCACAATGTTTGATCACCATGATTTTCAATAATTTGCGAAATTACTCCACAAGTTCGTCACAGAACGAACTAACAGACCTTACAAATTTCTACTTTCTTTTTGGTTTTTAAGGACTTTTTACCGTAGCGCCATCTGTGAGAAATCTGTTCCTCACTTTTCATTAGAGTATTTAACAAAAAGAACCACTATCTTTTAAACAACGACGTAAAGACATCAACCTTTTAATAATTATTCGCCCTCTTATTCACAAGCACGCGTCGAAATGACATTATTTCTTGACAACAAACAGCGTCATTAGATTTAAACCCGCCCGTGCACGCCCTCGCCGGCAAGTCGCGCGCCGTGTTCAAATGTAGCCAATTGAGTTGGCAACACCCACGTCGCAAATCTCTCCGTGTAGTATTCCCCAAAAATTTATAATAACAATTCATGATTGACATTACAAGTAATTTTCGGTTCACTGCCATCACCACATTAATAAATATTTAATTATCTATGTTATTTCTATAATAGTTCGACTAAAAGAAATGAATCCAGTCATAAAAAAAAAATTATAAAAAAAATCATTGATTATTGTGTCAAGTGCATCTGGTTATATACTCGATGGTAAAATGTATAGAATATTTATTTCGTCATTTGAAAGAAACAATCATTTAAATACTTAATAAAAAATAACGGAGTACCATGCCTGTTCGTTTCGTGTATATACTTACTTATGATTTAAAAGTACGAGTTCTAAGTAACTCTTCTCTAAATAATAAAATCAGACTCCTCACTATAAATACCCGTTTCCACGTTATAAAACAAGCCAAACATTAATATTTGGCCTTTCACCCCCTTTTAACGCTACCTCAACCCATACAATACGCGAAATATAATTCTAATTGTCGGGGGGTCCGGGCCCCGCAGGCCGACGCGGCGGTCGATACCGATCTCTGGACGCGATCTTCGGAGGGGCCACGTCGGCGATTTTATCGCTTAGCTTTTAAATATTCATCGTTTGGCGCTCTTGTAGGAAATAATGACGTTTTAATCGCGATGGCACTCAATCTGGGACGAAAATGGTTTTAGGATACTGCGAAACTGTTGAGGTACGCTTAATTTGGTCGCAAAAGACTTAATTCCGCTTTTTAATAGCACTTAAGATCAATTATTGCGCTTACAATCCGATTGGCTGAAATATACGTTACATATGTCATGGATATGGAGCTTATTTTTCGTATCCAAATCGCATATTTTTTAATGTTCCGTTTTAGATCCGAAAAAAATAAGCCCATATTCAGTGGCCTTACCTGATTGTGTTGATTTTGTTCAGCCATTGCTTTTTCCTTCGCTTGTCTCTTACATTTATAACGGTGATTTTGAAACCATATTTTAACCTGAAACAAATGAGAAGTTTATGTTTTTGATACGTAAAGTGAATCTAGGCGATGAATTGTGAACCGAGTGAGGTTTTTTAAAGGTGGCTGTGTCTAAGTTAACTCTATCGCACCGTGTTCTGTTGTGAGCTGTGACCTGGGTGGAATTAGCGCCGCGCAAGTGCAGGCCCGCACTCCACCTTAATGACGGAAGAATAAACACGAGCGATGTTTACCCGCTCCCCGGCCTTTGTCTACGCACGCTCCCGACGACGGCGACGCAGCAAAATATATTCTTTATTTATTATTTATACATCGAGAGCTTCCTCCGTGTTTATTCTTTGAAATGGATGTGTGCCCCTCGCCGGGCCGAGTTTCTCGCGCTTCTCGTTCCGTTATGAAAACGCGCGTAAATACCCGCCATTTTGTCGTCATGATATAAATGTGAGAGCCGTTAAGTAAACAAAATGCAATCGCTACATAGCTACTACGGCTTGGCCACTTGGCCGTGGGCTTATTGGAGCCGTTTGTTTCTTTGTGTTTGGCAGAGGCTGACGACACGTCGTCGCATCGTGTGATACGGGTAGACTCGTGAGCGCGAGGCGCTTTTGTCCGGCGGGCGCTCGGCGACGCTCCGTTATTTATGGAGTAGGTGAGAGTTAATGAACAAGCCCCGACGGCGGGCGTCGCTTATTGCACTCCGCCGAGGCTTGGACGCTCTCGTGTCGAGCACTTTCTTTTCAATCTCCTTGTGCATAATGCTCGATGTTTCCTTGCATGCACTCTCGGCAAGAGAGAGCTATTCACTTATTTGTTTTACCTACTGCGGCTGCCGAGCGACGGTGACACATTTCGGGTGTGTCCAAGGGCCTTTGACAGTACGTGTTAAGAACTTTACACACACTTACGTGCCTCGTGATGTTGTTCTAATGTCCGTCTAAGTTCCTCTTGACTACCGGAATGCTCTTGTTTCTAATGCCCTCTATTTATCACGTACTTACGTCTGTTAACAATAAATTATCCGATTCCATCGTTTTTTTTTATATCAAGTACCAACACTCCATAAAAAACACATTTTTCGAGTTTCGAAGGACGTTTTTTAGAACGCATCCAAGATGGTTTCTTCAAATTAAGATGGCGGCCACCCAGCCCGTTGTCATTTTGACAATACAAGTCAATTTTATCCCTTTTTACATTCTGATTTGTGACTTTATCGAGGAAGATTAAGTTTCAAAATTGAATGTATTAGTGAGAAGAAGTTTGTATGGTAAAATATGTGTGTGCGATACGCGTAGGTGTTCGGTTCCTGCGAACGATGACTGGCAGATCGTCGATCATTATAAGTAACGATTGCTTGTTTGTTTAGCTCTTCATTTGGTGGACGTTTTGTGGGACAGACGATGATGTTTCATTCTATGTAGGTATTTTGTACTCGTCAGATTCCATGTGAATTTTTTACAGACCAACATATGTTGCGTATTAAACGGGGTTATTATTTATTTTAAAGTTAAGCAAAATAGGCACGTATTTGACCATTGTCAAATAAACTATTTTCGTACCGTTACTTGGCAGCGTCTATTTATTTTGTGAGACCATATAAAGCACTCGGGCCATAACTGGCCACCAACCACAGTAGGTGGTTTTAGATTGTAAGATACCTACACCAAAACGGTCGGATATAGCAATTGCAACTGCAATTAAGCTGAACAACGTACAATTTATTCGTAACTCTAGCTGCCTACTTAATTCCCTTATCTTTGAGTTAGTATTTCTTTTTCAGACTTACATAAACGAAGAAATTTAAATTATTATGTCTACAGATTTAAAATGGTTCCAAATTTAAATCATCATTCTAACGTGTCTCTGATTTGTCAGTTGTCCGCACTACACAATGGTTGATTGTCGCGCATTATTAAACAGAAAAATGTTCATTCATCGTTCGCGCGCTGAGCAAACACGCGCCCGTCTCCCTGACAGCCGATCAATGCGCTTCATTTATTTAGTAACTATAAAAATATCACGAGACCACGCCAAAAAAACGTACTCGCACTGCAACGCTCTCCCATATTGCACTTAAAAATGAATTTTAAAATTTCGAACAGTTCAATTTTAAAGAAAGAATTCGCTTCAAGCGATAAAAACTAAATAAAAAGTGTGTTGCCGTGTTGCCAACATTAGGTAACAAAAGTAAATTGATGTTTTTACAACTGTCCTTTTAGTTGTGGATACGACAACATTGAATTCTTAAGAACTCACACAGACTAAGTACTGACTCATCTTTGATAATTTGATCGATTGAATATTAAATGAATAATTGAATATTTTTTACTCTTCTTACAGCATCATTATGTGACCTCTAAATCCTTTAAACATTGCTAGAAGAGCTACATACATAAATATCGTACAACTCAATGTAATAAAATAAACACACTTTATATAACATAAACAAAATATTAAAGTAAATAGTTACATATTACTCGAAAGTACCTTTCGACCCCTACAGCCGAACCGTGATGTTATAAGCTGCTCAAATGTTTGCAAGGCAATCCACCAAATTAATATTTATTTAATATTCGATGATTAAAACCGGCTTTCGAACGATGTAATTTGTTTTAAACACAACAGCAAAACATGTTTGCAAAGGTGGTTGTGTGGTGGATGGTTGTAAAGATGAATAAAATTGTCTATGAATTGAATACCGGCTTATTATTAAGTAGTACAAAAATATGGACACATTTATCAGCTCTCCGTAATTAGACATTGTAGAATTAGACATTTTGTTATAATAATTATGATAAGTTAACAAAAATCGAACACAAAAAAAAATATTCGGTCTGACAGGACTTATTACAGGAAGGTATTTTAATTAGTTATTCAAAAGTAGTGTCATGACGGAAACAGAAACGGAAGCGGATGGGGAGGTGGAAGTGTAAATACCGTTAAGAACTCGACAAAATAGTTCCCAACAGGACTTGATTTTGGTTTAATAATTTAAGTGCAATTACTACACAAAAAAAAATTAAAAGAAATGCGCTCCATCGCCAAGTAATCCGCACTACCGCTTGATGCGTCGCGAACGTTGTAAACTTAGAATTCAATTTGCGGAAACAGAAACGGAAACAGGTGTGAAAAACCGTGCAGAATTTCCATAATTACGGAAGCAGAAGCAGAGGTCTGTTGCATCACTAATTAAAATATATAGGTATCGTAGGTTAATTGCTTTTTTGACTGTAAGTACGTTAATTTATTATACGACCTCATATTTGTAATATTTTTAATGAACATTGCCAAAAGTATTGCAATTTTTTCATTTTTTTAAACATTTCTTCCTCAAGATTACGTGTGCAAAAAAACGTTCCGTCCTACGCAAACACGCAACCATAATGCACTTAGCGATACAAATTCTCCCGATGTCCGAGACATAATGCCTCCGTACCTGCACAAATATCAGGTGCATAATGCTTAGATATCGCTAATCCGCTCCTACAATAACCTACAAAAACTCCCCCATTCATCAAAATATAATCTCTACGAATTACAAAAATAAAATGCAAAAATGCAAAATCAACTGTAAACCCATACATGCGTCGGTCGTAATATCTCCGCGTAATAACGCTAGAAATGAAATCAAGTTCTTTTTTCGAAATTTGTTTTGACATGTTGGCAACGTTGAATAGAACCGCGTTTAAATTGCGGGCAGGAGGACAATGATACCATAAACAATTATTACTTTTTTAAATAAGGCAGATGATTTCATTTCGGCGGTCTTTGGCAGGAAGCGCATTGAATCTCACGGAGATTAGAGGATTAGAAAAAGTGATGTGGAATTATTGGGAAATTATGGGGCGGCTGTGATGAGCCGAAAGGCTTTGCCGGTGGTTGGCTTAGGTAATTATGATCGTTTTATTACGATATAATACTGGAGATAGACGAATGAAAATTATCCTATTCAAGTTGCTCACTTTCAAACAGTAGTCAATAATTTGAATCAAACAAAAAAAGTGGTGTGTAGAGAGTTCAAAGCGAATTCAAAACTGACTACATGACATCTGTGTTCAGTGATTTGTTTCATGGACCTACTCACAAGTTTTTTGTGTTCGTATACAAGGATAAGGAAGATTTACTCACGTTGTATTCCATTACATCTCAGAGCTAAATAGATTAAAATAACGTCGGCACAAACCGCACCCAAGTATACAAGAACGTTCAACACGCATTCTCGTAAATAGATGTAACATTTAATATCGGCAAGTGCCCGCCTGTAACCATTATTTCATTGCTCTCATTGGTCGCATTAGCTCGGCGCAAGCGGTAGCCCGCATGCGTGCATCCGCCCGCCAGATCGTGACCAGAGACAAAAGACCGCACACAAAGCGCTTTTGTCTTTGTGTTTCCAGTTTTTTCATGTTCTCACGGAAGTTGGAAGGTTGTTGACCCTGACATGTATTGATTAGAAAATACGAAAACCATAGAAACAGAGTGAGATAATCGGTAGGTAAAATACATAAATACTTTTAATCTAAAAAAATTTAGTATTTCTAATCAAATAAATAGAATAAAGAAAAGTTTCCATTTCTAACTTTCTCACAGGTCATACATTTTATACAACTTACACACCATTGAAATAATTGTAACTGGCAACATAGATAGCAGCTTTCCATAGACAATATTTTAAGTTAAAAAGCGAATCACCGTATAACACTCGCCATTAGGCTTATGAAAAAGAAATCAAAGTTCCACTGTTTGAAATTGGAAGCTGGGTCCGGCGGGAAACGCAGTCGACGCGGCCGCGTTGCTCCGCGAACATCGAAATTTACTTAAGTTAAATAACGAAACGCGAGCCCTCTGTTTGCGCTCAAATACTGCGGAATATTGTGGAGCGAGCTTTATTGCGGGTAAACTGGCAGGCGGTATTTGAACAGGGCTATGAATATGCAGGAATGCGTTTAGTGCAGTTTTCGTTTCTAAATGCATGACCTGGGGTAATAGGATTCTCTGAAAGTCGGTCCAATACAAGTTTC